TCATATTTTCGTCCAGTTACTTTCTAAACAAGATGTTGGGGCAGGGCCGGATTAATCTGTTATGAGGCCCACTTTCAGCTCCCCACACCCCTTGTCCTCAAATTACTTTGTGATGATATGATATTTTTTTTATATTAAATTTAAATTTATTTAGGTATATGTGTTAAGTATCCAGAGGGCCGCTATAAAACCACAGTGACAAGGTCAAAAGATAAAAATGCTTACCAACTTAATTAACATTGTTTGCAAAGAATCCTGTTACCACAAAGCGGTTTTTGCCCAGAAATTTGTACCAGGATGGAAACATTTTAGACCGTATATTTAATAGTATCAGTAGAAGAGCCACATATCTCTCAGCTCTATAATAGTTACTGCCCATCCCAGAAAACACATAATATGTTCTTTTACTGCCTGGACACAGCTGATAAAGCACTGAGCACTCAGTTTAGTGATAGTCAATCGAGGTGTTACAGAGTAAGCAGTAAGCAAGGGATGTGGTCATCACCCACCTACGTGTAAAATTCTATCTCACTCTATGTAGAGATAGTGCAGGTGGTCATAAAGTTGGAAACGCAAGGCAGAATATCAGTTACCAGTGTAGAAATCAATCCCAGAATTCAACAGTGTTGCTCTAATTAAATGTGGCAGATGGCAGTTGGGGTATGTGGGGAGCATTCCTCACATGAGCCTTTTCTCTCTGTGACCTTTGACTGGCAGACACCAGGGCAGGTGGAGGATCAGGTTCACATTGACACAGGCGGGGCAGTGAATTTTGTTGGAGATTTATTTGGTGTCGGTTCGGTTACCTGTCGCTGCAGTAATTACTCAGCGGGTTAGGGCACACGTGTGTTTAATCACATAAAACACAAAGGCGCCCCAGAGGGCAGATACTGCTGGTGTGTGGGGGGTTTGGGCGCTTAATAGCTTATATGTTTGTATGCCAGTTCAGATCACACCTCACTGAAGCTCTGCAGGCCTAACAGAGCCAGCACTCAACCTCTGCCCTTCCTCTAACACTTTGTGTGTGTACATGTGTTTGTTCTCTGACAGGAAAATGGCGATAGCCTCTCCATCAACATCAACAGCAGGAACAACAATGGCATCTGACTCAGAGCTCTCACGCCTGGGGGGCATCGAGGCCTTGAAATTAAAGGTGGGGCCGGTACGGAGGAACCTCTTCGGGCCCGTGGACCACGAGCAGCTGCAGCAGGACTTCCAGCGGCTGCTGTGCATGAGCGTGGAGGTGGCCAACAAGCGGTGGAACTTCGATTTCCAGAGCGAAACGCCAGGAGAGGGCTCCAACATCAAGTGGGAGGAGCTCAGGTGCCAGGATGTGCCGGCGTTTTACCGCAGCTGTACGGTCGGGTCAGTGCCAGTGCCAGTGCCAGTTCCAGTGCCACAGGGCAAAAGGTGGGCGTCGTCTTCGTCGGGCGAAAGCTCCACAGGGTCCAGCAGCTCGTCCGGATCTGGGGATGAGTACTTGGAGGTGACCACAAGGGGGTGCTACCGGATCAAACGGCAAGGGAAACGCAGACAGGCTGCCATCACAGGTCAGTCCGCCAACTCTCAATAAATCAAACAGTTGATTCTAGGTTTAGCTAACTTAACGCTCATCAAGAAAGCTAATAAACGAATTTTGTTACATTTTCTTTTCCCTTTTTTTTTACTGACTTTGCATCGTCTTTCATTCTCCAGATTTCTTCAAGGTGAAGAAGAGGAAGCTTCTGCATTACAAAGGATCTTCTCGACAGTAGAAAAGCACAACTAGACCCAGTAGAGGATCACTAGGTGGTCGACATCCCTCTACACATCACCTCACACAGATATGTGTCATATCATATGTATATATGTAGCAATTTGTAACTGACTGTCCACAAGCTCATACAGCACGGGCTTAAAAACTCCTCTGACACCACATACGTTTAACATTCAGCATAAGGAAGCTACCATTTCCCTACATAATCAAGCTCAGACTTTAGAAACGGTTTTTGTTGATAATTACAAATTTTATATATATTCTAAATACTGTTTTCCTCAGCTTTTGACTATACTGTGAAATGATTTTGAATGCACTCTTAATAACAGAAAACAGGCTGTAGTTTTAAGAGGTTAATCTTCTTCTGAACGGGCCTCGGATAGTATTTGACCTCAGTCCTCGACCTTTTTTCTCCCTCTTGCTGAAAGTCAGAAGAGGTTTTGATTAGATGAGTTACTATTCCTGGCCTCGTGTCACACTTAGCCTTTAGTCTCACCCCACGGCTCCCAAAGCACGAGTCTAACCAGGGGTCAAAACCTCACCCAGGGCTAAAAATTTGGCAGCGCGACTGTAATTAGCTCCAGGTTAAAAGGTCAACGGTGGAGGTTCAGCGATGAGGTAATTCGGCCACACCTGTACAATAGCGAGTATTAATAATAATGTTTCATATGTTTATTTATTGTTCATGATGCTAGGTCATCATCAAAATTAAAAAAAACTTCGAAAAAAAAATAGACAAGCAGAGTGTAAAGCGAGGTCAGATGACCTCAAACATTCCCCCCAAATTATGCATTAGACTATAAGTCTTTGTGGCTCATATACACTCCACCGTTGCCGCTTAAAAATATTGGCCATGTGTATTTAACACCATCACCACATAGCAAAAAAATATACAAACCATATTCCCTTTTTGCTTTCTATTGTTTGCATAATGGGGTTGTAAAAATCTATATTTGTTGTGGCAACAGACCATAACATACCTTATTTAGTTGTATGTTTTCGCCAGCTTAATGCTTCTAACAATGTAGCATTTTCCACTCTTTATCTTCATGTGTTTTCCACCTTGTAGGTTTTAAATACGCCTCTTTTCTCCATGAAGGGAATGTTTTGTTTTATCACTGTGCTGCAGCTCAGGGGGATCAAGCTTTCGGTTCCACCTTTGGTAATCTGTCGAGCTGACTCGCATTTTCTGTCTGTTCTCTAAGTGTTTTCACCGTGTGTATATAGGCATACAAGTGTTTGTGTATGAATGTGTTGGTTTGGTGTGGCAGCTGAGGCAGTTGAACCAAAGAGGAAATTGCCGTGCCATTGAATTAGAAACACATCATTTATAAAAGTCGCTCACTGTTTGAGTGATCAGTTATGGCTCACAGAAGGTCTCAAGCACGCCCAGATCTTCAATTATAGAGTGTAAAGACACCACAACTGCTCAACTAACAGTTTCGGTGACTCAAAAAAGGACGTGCCTACTTTTTCTTCCTGATCTAAAGTCCTTCTAATTTGTATATGGATGAAAAGCCATAACCTGGATTTATACATCCTTACTACCTCATCAAGTGATTCAGTAAAAACAAACAAGTTAAATATACTTCAGATGTAAAAAAATAAAAATGTCGCTCAGATTGTTTGCTCCTACAGGCGAAAGAGAGACAGAGAGACATTAACAAGGGGGGTTGGGGGTCTTATCATTCTGTTGTGGTAAAAGCTGTCGAGGTTCAGCGCTCCGTGTAGAGTTTCACATCAGGTAAAAGAGTCAGTGTGTCAGAGCGGGGCCCGGCTCCACGCAGAGGACACTCCAGTCCCTCAAGGGTGGGGGGTGGGCAGGGGGCTGTTGTTGTCTGTCCCTCTCTGACTCACTTTGCTTTGACAGTTTCCCAGAAATAGAGCAGAGGAAGAGGAGTGGGGGGAAGGACGAGGAAAACTTAATAGAAAAAGAGAAAATCACTCAGACCCCTTCAAGATCAAAGGATTTCTGAGGCCAGACAAGTAGCCCGCGATTCAGACGTGCTTTTGTCTGCCCCCTTTAAAGCTCTGAGTCTCTCTTTCATGAACCAACCGCCTCAGTCTGCGAAAAATCGGCATGAAAGCAGTTGTTCATAATCATGTTATTCTTTCATGACTCAACAAGGGGATCTTTCACAGATCTAAAAATAGCAGACACGGTTATTTGAAATTGTGCTGAATTTGTCAGGATGACTTGTTTTGTTTGTCAACTTATCTATGTGTGTGTGTGTGAGAGACAGAACTATCTTCTGCGTTGAAGAGTAAACTTTCAAAGTCTATTAACTTATTTTGAGTTTGTATCATTTGTTATGTAGGGAAATAATTGTAAATGCCCTATTTGCTATAACTAATTGTGTTATTTCTGAAACTATATCTTTGCACTACTTAACATTGTTGACAAGAGAACTATTTTTTTATGGTAATCTAAAAAAAAAAAAAAAAAAAACATACAAATACTGAGGCACAGATTAGTAATTTCTTGATATTTAGAATAATTAAATATTTTTTTCCTCCAATCAGACTTTTAGACAGTTTCTTACACTTGTTCATTGGTTCCTTAGGATTTCATTGCAGCTGTATTAGTCTTAGTCTCAGGTCTGTTAGGAGGAAATAAAATAAAGGAAGAAAAACGATAAATGTCAAGATTTTTCTGTTAGTGTCACATTGCCCAAGCAAACTTGGCTTTCCTAAATCACCTGTTGCAGCTATATCAAAGTGTACCTTTTTTTTTACATTTTGTATATGCATGAATGTATGATAATCTTTGTACACCATTTGTAGTAATTGTATTGTAATTTAATACTGGTTTATGTATCCTTGCAACATGTAAGAAGTGTATTTTTATGGGATCAGAATCATGTCCTTTTTGACATTATTTGTATAGAGAATATATTGCTGGGCTGTTGGTGCACTGTTGCCTTTCATATTGTTGATTTCATAGTGTGCTCAAAATAATAAAATGTTAATGAGATTGATATAAACCACAACACACTGGTCTGTTTGTGTTTTCACTCTAGTTTTTAAGGGCTACGAACGTAAGGTCGAAACTTAATAGCACCTCCTGGTGGTTTCAAAGTAACATTGCACACAATTAATCAATAGACTTTCATACACTGTATTTGGCAATAATGTGACTTCATGGATCTTAGAAGCTGTAATAAAATAAAGATCAGTTACAAGACAAAAATATTTTATCAAAAGTTTTCCCACCTTATCTGAAATATTCAGTGATATCGCACAATTTGCAAAATGTGATTTGCATTTATTTAAAATGAAAAAATTGCATTTACATTAGTTAAAACTTGAAAAGTTCACATAAATAAAAATAAAACAAATCAAAAAAAAAAAATACACCACAGATAGTGTTACAAATTCCACATACATTTCAGTTTACATTCGAATACATTTTACTTGGCAAGTTAAGAGATTTTTAGTTTTAAGCTCCACTGCTCTCGGGTTAGCATAAGGAAACATGTCAGCATGTTACATGGTGATTTATGTATCTACATGCAATGGAGCACACTATTTGTAGTGTGTATTGGCCACAATGGCTGGAAAATCCCAAATTCTAGTCTCTTTTTACAAATTGTAACTAAATGATGATGATGGCAGACAACATATTCAAACAATACCTCGCACATGGCTGGTGCTGTACAAGTATCTTTCCTTTAAAACTTAATAACAGACAACGTTTGGGTAGATTCACAGTCAAGTTCCCCAAACAAAACAAAAGTGCAGTTTCTGCTATAAACAGACAAAACGTTTCTCGTCTGCAATGTCAGTATGCAGTTTACACTTCAATGTGTGTCAGATATGCGCTGTAAACTAAACGTTTGAGAGGACAATGGGACATTGTTCTAATTGTGTTTCTGTCAGTGTGTGAGTGTGGGGGTTTTCCTGTGACTTAAGACACTCAAACTTGAGGCGTAAACATTCCAGTGGCCAGGAGGTGAAAAAGGATGAAGGATGAGGTGATTGACACACATACAGAATCAAGAGGACCAATCCCCTTTAACGGAAAGGCTTTAAAGTATAGTTTCTAACCCTGATTACACAAAATACTGTACATGAGAGAAATCGAGTGGCTGCGAGTTGAACGCTCACCAAAACCCAGCTAAGATCTAAGTGGTTCAGTAAAATCTTCAAGACATAATTGTTACTATTAGAATACTACAGTGCAATATTCATTATCTCAACCAAAATATTATACATATCTACAAAAGCTGACAATACATTTCTACATTAAAATCATTATTCACATTCTTCAGGCAATCCTGACCCCCAGTCTGCCTCAGAGGGCCTGTTTTCTTTTTTTTTTATTACAGTAAGTTAAGAACTCCTGAAAATAAGGCCAAAATTGACTCAAGAGCATGTGCATTTTAAAAAGTTTTTTACATCCATATAAATTCTAAAATATATACACTAGCACATTCTGTGAATTCACAGACTGGTTGTGCCTGACAGCCAGGTCCCTTTAAAAGCCTTTAATTATTTATTCATTTTTTTAAATCAGGCACTTCAGCTCAACCTCTAAATCCTTGTGTTCACACTTGAGGCTTTTAGTGAGTTGAGAAGACTTCAGCGTTGTGCTCAAAGACCTACTCACGGGGGTTATACCACACAACCACTGGACGCTGTGAGAGTTAAACTGGTGGTGCACTAACTCCAGGTCACCTTAATCAACATGGCTGAGAGAAACATCATCCACCAAAATCGGTCCGACTCCTGTAACTCACCTATAAGGGGAGTGTCTGAGCAGCGTGTGTGCGGTCACTGATAAAGAGTAGAAACATTACGGCCGACAGATGTTGACGCTTTCACAGCTGGCGGTGCAGAGCTTGTCTGTCTCTCCACATGGCACGCACCTCTTTGAAGAGCAAGGGAGTGATGAACACAATGCTGCCCCCTGTCTGTCAAATGAAGACACAAGGGTTTTGATTTCAGCTTTGTTAACAGTTGGAAATTAAAATGTACTTTCAACCGAGGCAAAACATGCTACAAACATTAATTAGTCAGAATTTGTGTTTAAACAACAGAATTACAGAAAACAAACGTGTAAGACAGGAAAAGCACAGAGTTAATAAAATTAACGATAGCTTCATTCTGTGCTGCGTTATGTCCTGACAGTGTGAGCCAGCAAGAATAATACACCTGTGCCTTTCCCACCGTGACATTTCAGTTAAAAAAAGGCGTATTGTGATTCCAGGAACTCATCTTACCATGACGACGAAGAAGTAGAACACACACATCCAGCCCAGCTTGCTCTCAATCAGGGACACCAGGTACTGGAGGAAGATGGAGATATAAATTACATCAAATGTCACACTGTGGGTGCTAAAATCCAAAATAAAGTGCTGCTAGACGCTGGAAATTGAAATGATCTTAGCTAGCAACACCAGATTTACGCTGACTCTCAGATACAGAATATTTACGCTTTCTGTTCCTCAACTATGTAGCGGTGCGCATACATACAGAACCACATGCATCAACTGTATCTGGGCAGATTTATTCTAGTAGTTCTTTATTTTTTCTTTAAGGACATAAATCTGTTTTACTAGAGATGTTATTGTTCACCTGTCCACCAGCAGCTCCTATACTCCCAGTTCCATCCACTATGCCAGTGACAGTGGCCAAAGCCTCCTGACTCCCCCTCAGAGCCTCCTGTCTGCCCAGGTCAGCGGATATGGCTGAGCTGATCATGTTAGATGGGCCGCCGATGAAGAAGCCAGTGGTAGCCAACAGCGCTGCGTTTATCACCTTGTCGTTAGGCGAGTCTGAGAAGGATGGAGAGGAGGGGGGGCAGACTTGTGATACTGGGGCTGACGCTGTTTAGATACCACCATCAACCTTATATAATGAGGCTTTGGTTGATTTCAGTACTCAAAGTCAGAAGGTAAAACAGGCATTTGTCACCTGTTACAAACTCAACTGTGGCATTCATTCTTCCTATGTTAATACTCTGTTTCTTCAATGCCTGTGTTAACCCTAAACAATATGATTTGTACGTATTCACATAAGGATGCACCAACTGATTATTTACATCTTCTTTGTGATTAATCAATTAATTATTCGGCCTATAAAATGTCCATCTTAATATCAACTAATCGTGTCGACTTTGTACTCACTGCTGTATCCCACCAGGGCTCCCATCGCCAGCGCCAGACTAATGGCCAACACCGGGGCTCTCTTTCCCATGAAGTCAGAAATCAAACCCTGAACTGTCCCTCCTGAGACAAAGAAACAAATTGACAGAGACACAATAAGAAAAAGACAGTTATCATCCAAACTCTGATGATATTTATATATAAAGGAGAGGTGTCTTATTTTACACAAAAAATATAGTCCTTTATAATTATATTTAATTTATATTATATTTATTTTTCAATTTAATATATGAGCCTTGAACACACAGTCTCATATCCAAAGAAGTGTTTTTCACTGTACCCGTTGAAAATGTTTTAAATTCAATGAGACTATTGTTAAACAAAGGATGGAAGAAAATGCAGAAATGTGCGTGCCACTCACCGATGATTCCTCCGACGTCATACCACACGGACAGACGGTCGGCCTCAGCCTCCTTCCAGCCATAGTTGTTGCTCAGGTAGAAAGGAAGCCAGAAGAAGAAGGAGTAGTTGACCAGCTTCAGACACGCGTAAGCCAGAGAATACTGCAGTAGAAACAACGTGGTGTGAAAACTCTGCAATGTATTTGAATCATCTTTATTTGTGGTGAAGTGCTTGTTGTAAATACACGTGTTTTGACTCGTTGAGAGTTGTGGACTCACAGGTAGCACTCCAGGCAGACAGAAAGCCTGGCAGAAGCCGATGGCTCGAGGAGGCTCAACCAGAGGTTCGTCCGGCTGCTGAACCGACTGGTACCGTCTGCCATACACCTCCACCTCCACCTCATTCTCCTCGTCGCTCATCAGAGGCCGGTGGCTGTCTGTGTCCGTCTCCACCGGATTGAGCCCCGTCTCTGCCTCCAAACTCAAACCTGACACACGAACATTCAAGAGTTTAGGCAATCAGACACTTAACGGCTTCTATTTAGAGTCTCAAACTGAAATGAGAAAATGAGAAGTTCAAAATGGCTTCTGTGGGAATTAGGTCAATTTCAATTAAACAGAGTTGGGTGGTCATGTTTTTGTAACACGTTGTTTGCCGTCCTTACCAACTTCTTTTGGGGAGGTAAGTAGGCCGAAGAACACCACCACCCCGCCGGCAAACTGCACCACTGACGTCACCAGGAAGGCGTACTGCACACAGCAACATACGATACACCAGTGAGCTGCTGAGAACATTATGGTAAAAGGTATCAATAAGTGTGTGTTTGTGTGTGCACGTCTTACCTCATATCCATACTTGAGCACGCTAGACGCCAGGAAGGCCCCCAGGATGTTGCCTACAGAGGCACAAGCACTCCACAGGCCAAAGATAAAGCCACGGCTGGAAAACAACAGGAAGTTCAATTATAAATACTTTAACATAAATAAGTATTATTTTTAATGCCTTCTGTTCCATTCTGGTTTGTGTCTAAAAAAATGCAACTTCACAGAAAGCTCAGTGACTTGCTATTTTTATATTCAGCAAATTATGTTTACAAGTCCGCCAGTGAGGAAAAGTGTGTCTAAATGGCGTCTGTGTTTCGACAGCAGCACCTATGAATGGATGCCATTGTGCGAGCGTGAGTGTTTCCGAGCGTGGGTGTGTATCATAAAGCTCAACTTGAGGGACACGGAACTTGACTAAATATTTCTAGGCGGGATGGATGTTACGAACATATGATCCAAACATATCCACGGCTAACACTTGAAGCAATGTTAAGATAAATGGAGGTTTTGTACACGGATGGAATGTCACACGCACCCCGTCTTGCCGAACCAGTTGCCCATGACGGCCACCACACAGGGCCAGACGGCTGACTGCAGCAGGCCATTCAGCACCCACAGGCCACAGTACAGATAGATGTTGTAGATATGGAGCCATTCGGTGAGGGTGCCAAACACAAACTCCTGCAAACACACAGACAGCTACCAGTTAGATTCCATATTATCATATCGATACAGCGTATTGGGAACAATTGGGAACAAGATCTTTACTATACAAGTAATAATGCCATCTGTGACTATGTCCTGCCTGACACAACTTATTTTCACTTCTTTCATAGAGACCAGGTATTATACATGTGAAACAAGAAGCACAACTGGGTCTCTCTCTGCATGGAAGTCGAAATATATGTTTGTTAGTGCAAGGCTAGCCATGTGTAAGGTTGTCTTTAGTGCTTCAAATGCTTTCATCCAATATTCATTCCATCATGTACAGCTGACAGATATAAGGGTACTGATGATGAATCACAGGGCAGATTTCAAAAACAACTCATCACAACTAAAAACACTTGAAAATGTCAAATACTGATACTGACAAGAGCAGCCTATCAAGCATTACACACAAAGCCAAACACAAGGTCTATGTACTCACCACTGCAGCAGAGCCGCACAGGCCGACGCATAGCACGTAGCGCAGGTTCACTCTGTCCCCAATCACACCGCTGAGATACAGACCCTGTGTACATGGCACCAACATGTCTTAATTTTCTAGATAGCCAGACAATTACAGGTCATACTTAGAGTACTATATTCTTAATTTTTAATCTTAAATTTGCTTCTGTTTGCCACTCACCACTGCGTATGAGAAGAGGAAGATGGAGTCCAGAGCTCCCAGGAACAGAGTGGCCTGGTTTTCATCTGCAAACAGATGATTGTCCTCCCATGTCTGGGACAGTCGGAGAGAACACAGTTAATCATGTACAGTTTATCTACAACAGGGGTTTAAATGTCATGGATGCATTAGACCTCCGACACTGAACTTCTATTATTTTCTCAGGGATTGGTTGGTATGTATTCTTAATCCTTAAGGGACCTAACCACTGGATAACCCTGCACCAGTTGCAAAGCCGATGTTTTACATTTGAATGTTTTCACAAGAATTAAGTCAGAATCTATGTGCGAAAGAAAACTGTATTGGATTGCATGCTGCTGTTCTGCTGGTGCTTTGTACCTCGCCAGGGGAGAGGCTGACATTCTGGACGGATGGTGTCCACTGGGCTGAGATGCTCACTTTCACATTGCTGAAGGTCTTCCTGGACGCATGTAGTAACACATAGCTGGAGAGACAGAAAACAGGTTTAGTCAGCAAGTAAAGGAAATAGGAGATTTAAGACGCTCCAATTGATTCAGAATGCTCCGGAACGAGTACCGACAGGAACTAGGAAAGATTATATATTATATTTCTCCTGTATTAGCTTCAGTAGAACGTGAACCAGAGCCATCAGCTACCAAGCTCCTCTCCTGTGGAACCAGCTCCCGGTTTGGGTTCGGGAGGCAGACACCCTTCTCCACATTTAAAAGTTGGCTTAAAACATTAAAACATTCCTGTTTGATAAATCTTGTCTGAGTCCTGAACCATCCCTTAGTCATGCTGCTATCAGCCTAGACTGCCAGTGGACTTCCCATGATGCACTGAGCTCCTCTCGTCCTCCCCCTCTCTATCTGCACACATTCATGTCCCATTAATGCATGTTACTAACTTCACTTCTTCCCCGGAGTTTTTGTGCTGTCTCGTCTTGCAGCCTCTCATGGATCCTGGTTGTGCCTGCTGCTGTGGTCCTGGTTGACTCCCACTGCTATTATTACTGTTGTTATGATTGTGATTATTATGATTCATTACTCACTACTGTTATGGCTGTTATCATCATCATTATTATAATTATGAGTAATTTCTACTATTATAGTTGTTACTGTCGCTATTGTTATTGCTGTGCATCTCTGTCTTTCTCTCTACCCCCTCCCCCTCTACCTCCCTCTGTGTCTCTCTCTCTCTCTCTCTCTCTCTCTAACCCCAACCAGTCGAGGCAGATGGCGGCCCACCTAGCGCTGCGTTCTGCGTGAGGTTTCTGCTTCTTAAAAGGAAGTTCTTCCTTGCCGCTGTTGCCAAGTGCTTGCTCGTGGTGGGAATTATTGAGTCTCTGTAAATTATTTTATAAGGAGTACAGTCTAGACCTGTCCTAAGATAACTTCTGTTATGATTTGGTGCTATACATCCATGTAAACCATGCATGTAGAATGAATGAACAGGTCAAAGGGGATGCAACTGCTTGATGACTGAACACTTGTTTAATATCTTGGAATAATAACTCTTGTTTAGTGTCAGTTTAAATGCTATTGGTTTAAAAAATGGAAATTGATACCATAATATACACGTTACAACAGGGTATTAATAGTCCTGTTAGTTGTCTCGTGCTACATTAGGTCACACAAGGCACACAGAAGGTCAAAATTCCAAAGTAGCAGCAGCTCAATTCTGCTCAAAGAATTTACAGGAAACACTGGAATGCCACATCTTTATCTTAAAAACAGGAAATGACCAAAATCCAATGCAGGCCCTCATTTTCTGCTGAGCAGCAGCGTTCACTGCGTGCTACTGCCTGCTGCAGACGGCACTTTGCTTTGCTCCTGATAGGAGTAGCGTGACACGGCTGCAGACGTGTGATACCACATCTACTGTAATTAAACATTAACAGCACAGGCTGAAATAAACATATGGCAGGAAATTTACCAGGTGGCCAGAAGTATGAGTTATTTCCTGCACTGTTTAACATTTAACTGAACCTTTTCAAAATGACCTGAAAAGATTACAATTTATTTTCACTGCTTTATAAGACTTTTTCAATCTATGTAGCAACACTGTCTATTGGAAATCAGTATATATTGTCCATGTTATCTTGACTACATCTGACATGGGTTAACCTTGCTCCATAAACCTTTCACCTAAATTAACAGCTCACATCCATTCACGAGTGTTTCTCCACTAGCTATATTTTGCTTTAATACAACTCTGTGAAAATGGTAACTTGGTATAAAAAAATAAAATAAAAAAAAAGGTCAACTTTCTGGTGATTCTTTCCAATGAATATGCAATAAAACAACAAAAACAAAACAAAAGCCTTAAATCAATCTAGTCTCCATTGGGATTCCAGTTACTCTGAGGTCTGGCATCACAAGCAAGGTCACCCAGAAACTAACCCAGGAGCGCATTCACAACGCTAACAGGTTTGAGGGAAGACCTTTAAGTTTGGGTTGGGTCCAAATTACCTAAAGAAGGTGAGAAGGAAGGCAACCAGATGGTGATGGGTGTACTGTGACAGGCAGCCACAGCACGAGGGAGGCATCACAGGGGTGGCCGGAGGGAGGAAGAGGAGGTGGAGCACGAGGATGGAGGTGGTGGTGGTGGATGTCTTCAGGGGGAACAGCGGCAGGACAAGGGGGTGTTTCAGCTAAAGTCCCACTATGCCAGACGGGACAAACACTAAAGGAATTGGAAAACCAATGTTAAATACTAATACTTTATTACTGATTATAGGACAACAGCTTATACAAAGTACTAACAGCAGAAATATAGGATTAGTCCTTGGCTGACTAAAGGAGAACACAAAACTATATTGTTTATGTATGAGAGAAACTTAATCATACATACAGTGACCACATAAACAGAAACCCTTTGCGTTGGACTACTACCACCACACCTCCCTGGTTTAAAGCTGCCCAAGCAGTGTTATACAATTTCCCAAAGTTTAGTTTAATTCTCAAAGGATGCAGTGTTTCGAATTCACCCAAGATTGTGTGATGAATACCATTAACCTAATTTTACCTGTTCCTCAAAGTAGTCCTGGATGCTTCCTGTACTACAACAGGCAATACTGTCTTGTCCAAAGTATCCATCTCCTTGGGATAAAAGACGGGTATAAATAGATACATCTGGTCTGAATGCTGGGGTGTGCTCTGCTACCAACAGGTATCAATGGGCCCAGTGTGTAACGACTGCTTCTAAAAACCATTACACCTCCCCCATCGACCCGTTCAGCTGGAACCATGCATCGCCTCAGGTTGTTTGCTCTACCATCAAAGAATTATCCAACCCTTCTCAGTCCTGATACCCTCCTGATACTTCTGGGTGATACCGAGTACAGATCTGATACCAGTGCTGTCTACATGCCCAAATGTAAAATCTGTACAACTCACATTGGGGACTGTTTTTAAAAAGGTAAACACAAGACCAGAGGTTGCTGTGGTATCAATAACTGGCACAGTGACTGAATGATTTTTGTTATGACGTAGACAAAGAAACTGTATTTAACATGTTATATCACGGCTGATACCCACTCTGCATAATAAGTACAGTATTTACACAAATAATTTGAATTTCTTCGACTTTCTTATGTTCTGGTCAAACTATTGTTTACTGTCCTGCAACTCTACAGTATTGGCAATACTCAAATGCGCCTTCTTGGCACCTGTTGTGTGTGCACCAATTACATGCCTGTTTCTGTTGCATGTACCTGCTTATCTTGCAATACCTATAAAATATGAATTAGTCTGGTTAGTTCATATTTTTAGAGGTAGAAAGTACAGACAATTATCAGATCATATATTCTTGAAAACACTGAGACTCAATTAGAAGGCAAAAACACTGATATAAAAGCCAATGGCCTCACTTTAATTTGCATGATAAATAATTTCCTAACCAGCTGAATATCTTTCACATGACTGTTACTCCACCCATGAAGTCCTGTGAGCCTGCCAGGCAACCTTTACAGTATCTGATTGTGTATGTACACTGTCTGCTCATGCTTGGTCTCAATCAAATGCAATAAAAACACACTACCTGAGGGAAAAACAGACAGTTGACTAAAAGAGTCTGAAACACACTCATGCATTTTTAAATGTGTTGTGTGCATTGTCTAAGGCAGGATAAACACTTAGGACAAAGCCTCTTCAGCAGTTTCACATACAAACATGCCACCCTCAATATTTCTCTCAAGCTCTTATCAGTTAAAAATACCTGCAGACGTGCTTGTTAGACAAAACTCCCAAAAGGCAAATATGGCAGCATGTGTTTGGTGTCTGGTGGTTGTCCACACAGAAACTGACAGGTGGGAGTATTACATTGCACACTCACTGTGCACACTGAGAGGGAAGGTGTAAGCAGGTCGTCCAAACGACGCTACAGATCAATTTTCTGTAGATTACAGAAGATACGGGCTCTACTTTGTGCCGCTCACTGTTTTATGACTTGTGTGCGTAAAGACGTGATTTACCCAGTTGTTCGACACATCTTGCCAGCTACAATGCAGCGTACGACCATGATTTCGCCAGTTTTTGGTTGTCCCACTTCTAATATTAATGTCACAGGACAGTTTCTGTCCATCTCTGCCTCACTGAGTGACAACGCACATAACGATACTCGGAGTATTTACCTACAGAGCAGTTCCGGGTCCATTATATCTTAAAAGTCAGAACAAAGGTCTACGAACAAACAGCGGACAGCTACAGTTTCAAACTCTTAAACTCTCTCAAACAAATCAAAGCGTTTTCTTACCCTTTCTGCTCAGGTAACCCTGGGGTTAGTTGTCTCTCTGTGTGCGGACAGCCTGTGTTTACTGTGGAGTCCTGTTTTCACGGACGTCGCTGCCAGCAGGTCACGACGGCGTGCTGCTGCCACCAGCAGGACAGGAGTGGCATTACAGGCTTAAAGAGGCACAGAGTGCAGTGACAGCAGTAGAAACTGAGCAAGACAGCTGTTCAGCTTTCACCTGTCACTGTGCCACTTGTGAGGGTAGAGACAACCCTTTATTGGCTGCAGGCAGATTTCGACATAGTTTAAAATCTGCACCGCCACATAAACAGTCCACTTCACCGCCTGGCACTGCAACAGGGATCCAGCACTGAACTTGGTCAGCACTTGAATTCTGGTAAGCCTTTAACAATGACATACCGTTAGTTTGGTTAATATATACTGGTTTTTAAACTGCATGTACACATTTTAAGGGATGTAAATTTACTATACAAGGTATCGTCTGTTTAGATTACTTAAGATTACAACTTAAGACAAATTAATAAATATAAAAAAAGAAATAGACACATATATTGGAACCTTGGGAATGGGTTAAATAGAAAACAGAAAACAGTTAAAAAAAACTCAAAGGTTAAACAAAGTATTTAATTGTTTTTGTAGTTGTACTATTACATCTTGACTATGTGAAGTCATTTGTTTCATGACAGCTAAAAAAAACGTACGTATTATGATGATAGTTTCTCTTTGAACGTGTTTTCAAAGCCCCTTGTAAATTCGTCTTTTGTTTGCAGTTTGCAAATCTAATTCATTTCTGTATGAAAATGAATATTCAATTGGGGCAAGGTGGGTGGGCTGGCGTACTACAGCTGCATAAGCAACTGTAGCTTGGAAGCAGCTGTGATGTGAATTCCAACTAACTTCAGATTTGGAGGGAAGAAATGTAATACAATGACGTCCGTCCCATATGTCAGTAATTTTCCTGCAGCCAGAGGGCAAGATTATGACGTTTAGTAGTTTAAGTCAGTATTAATAGTGATTCATTCATTCTAGCTTCTTCATAATGTCAGCTGTGAGGGATGCATGAAGAGAGAGAGAGAGAGACAGGCAGGGAGAGAGAGAGAGAGAGAGAGAGAGAGAGAGAGAGAGAGGGAGGAAGTCACATCCAGGGTGTGTGGGCAGAGAAAGAGTGAATGAAAGTTGGAGATTGGAGAAGAGACAGGGAGACAAGTGTACAGTACTTTGAGGTGAGACCCTTATGTCTCTATTCTCATCCACTTAAACAACTGACGACTCACTTCGAGGCTTAAATCTAATTAGAAAACCTACTGCAGACTGTTTAACCTGGACATACAGCACACTGCACCACAGTGGTTTGGAGGTTATACCAATGGATACTCTTATAGCAGCATCGGTTGTACTGCGCTGCCATTTCACTTACGAACACATGGAAACTGTACGACAGAAGGAGGTAAGAAACAGATTAAATTTGGTATATTTAATATACAAAATGTGATGAAGGCCAATGTGATTTCAAAAGACTGTGTTGTCTCATATTTTCATTGGATTTCCTGCACCTGAAGTCCAGTATTGGAGAATAATTTTATTTCATTCTGAATTAATAAACTCATATGTTCGTGTTGTATTATTTATTTAGGTTAAAAAAAATCATCTGGGCATATGAATTTCCTAAAAGCGACCTCTAGCATAAAGAAAACTGTACCCACTTTTTGATTAATCGTGCAGCTCTTGATGGCTGGCTGTCTGTATCACGCAGTAAAGTATTTGATTGCCTTGTTTCCCAGATAATCAGCTATAGCCTATGTCTTTAAGGGGCTGTGTGCAGTCCCTCTGCTCAAGCTACCCTGTCATTTGGACTACATATCAACTAAACAAATGATGACAACGGCCTCAGAGCTGGGAAATTACCAAGCATTATCTTGGAGGCCACTGAACTTTGAAACATTGGCCTTAGAGATGTGAAAGTATGAGAGTCAAGAAGAGGAGAGCACAGTGTTTTAGTCGCAGTGAAGGTCAAAGGTTGGTCTCCTGTGAGGGGAAAGCAGCAGAATAAAGAGCACGCAATAAGAAAAGAAAAGACAGTTAGTGATTCAATCACGCAAGAGGTCCCTAATGACTGTTGAAATGTTGGTTTGTGTGATGAACTGCTCGAGGGAGTTGCACCGAGTCCCTGGCTGTCATGTTTTTCCTTGAGTCTGCCCAGCTGGCCCCCAAATACTGTAAATTACCAGCTGTGAATGAATGGTCACACTGCATAAAATGTCAGTCTCTCCAAGGATCTTAATCTCATTCTGATACACAATGTGGAAAAAAAAGTTTTCAAGTGTGTGCAGAGATATTCAGTCTCAGTGAAAAGGTCTGACACTAATTGTCAGCTCGAGCCAAGCCAGACAGGATGCCAATAAAAATGTTAATGTTCACACTCAGAGCAAAGAAATGCTTCGAGAAATAAATGAATTGGCTGAAGGTGAATTCTTCTCTCTCTCTCTCTCTCTCTCTCTCTCTCTCTCTCTCTCTCTCTCTCTCTCTCTCTCTCTGTCTCAGGTGTACAGTGATCATGGCAGCCAATAAGAGAATGACCACCAGGACGGACTGCATTTACTCCACTATCAACAGGTTTGTATTAGAATAGCTTTATTGGTGAACTTTTTCCCTATAGGAAGTGAACATTTTCCCTCACAAATTCATCCTGAGCTTGAGAAAAAAGCAACATGGTTTAGATTGCCCTTTACTCATCGCATTCATTAAGGAAAAGTCAGTAAAGGTCTTTCAACTTAGGGCTTCCCATTTCCTCCCGTTTATTTATTAAAACATAACGGTTTGATGAAATGGGCCCCGGTCCAAGTATGTGTTTATTTAGCAAGGCTGATGAGAAGAAGATGCTCGGTCATAGGGTTGTCCTCTGGCATTTACTCTCAGGCTGAATTTTCCCACTGTCGCCAGAAAAAGACTACGTGTCCCCTAACTGGCAGTCAGTGACCGTACTGGAAAGTTCAGGAAACTCTGGTAGTCTTTTGATGGAATATTATCGCAGTTTCCTGATTGAATTTAGGTTTGTAAATGTGTCGTACCCTAACAGCCTATCAGATGAGCTGAAGAATCAGTAACCAAATGCGTACATTTCAATTGATTTCAAAGTAGATGTTATTTAATACCTTTACTCACGAAAAAGTACATATTCTTACATTTTTTCATCCAATTAATGGGCTGGTTTCAACTTCTTATCCATCTACTTTCAGCTAGTGTTGACTATCCTGTACAGTTTCAACTGTTGACATTAAGTTTAGCCAACTATTTCGAAAATATATATACATTACTTTTATCTAACTATTTCAGCTACTCTGCTTGCTCACTAACTCAACTGTGCCACACCATATGTTTTCCTTTTCAAGTAATTTGATGCCTAAACCTTACCAAACTGTGTCCAATTTTACTATTGTTACTATGACAATGAAGGTCCTTTTGATTTCCTGTTACTGGTACGGTTACATAGGCCAGTTATAGACTAGTCATTGAATTATACTGAATTTCCTATAGAATAGGATAGAATAGAATTGTATATTGCTTTTCTTGGTTTAGATATTGGCATTATATATTGGCCATCGGCAACCCTGCTCTCTAAATATTGGCATCTACATCGGCCATTGAAAATCCCACATCGGTCAATCACTAATATAGGCCTATGTTATTTTGGGAGTCATTGACAAACAACCTTATCTCTTGTTTAGGTATGAGGGCGTTTTGCAGAATTGCTTGAAATGTCATTTGGCGTAAATATAGCCTACTGAGGTTGTAATAAGACTTCAGTAAAAGTGTTTTTTATCTTTGTGTGTTTAGGCTAAATAAGGGCTGTCTTGGTGAGAGAAGTAGTATCCAAATCGCTTCGGTGGAAAACAAGAGAGCCGAGCAAAGAAGAGAGGGGGCACCAAAGCGCCCCTTCACCCCATTAGAAAACCTGAGCAACCAGGGGGAAGAATCACCTGTGATGGCTCACAGGAGGTCGACCTTTGACCCTCACAGCAATGACAACACTCTCTTGGTAGGCAACAAGCTCCCCAGATCCAATAGAGGCAACATCAAGGACAAGATTTCTCTGTGGGAGGGGAAGGAACCCCCTCATGCACCTATTACCTCAGGTTCTTTGGGCCAGTGTGCCAGCGTAAAAAGGACAGAATCCCTGACAAGAAGCAACAGTACAGCTTCTGATGAGCATAGCGCAGGGAGCTGCAGGAGAGTAGCCCATAAAGAAAAGGAAAATCTTGGGAAAGAGAATGTAGGAAAACTTGGGGATTCAAGGCCCTCTTCACCAGTTGAAACTGGGAAACAGCAAAGAGGGACGCTCAAGAGCAGCCAGCCCAGTGAGCACCAAAAAGGGGAGGATTGTGACAGAGTTGTCCATTTGGAAAAGCAAGATCACGAGAAAGAGAATGTAGAAAAGCTTAGGGATTCGAGGCCTTGTTCACCTACGGGGGCAATGCAACAGCAGTTGGGGACCTTGAGGAAAAGCAATGACAGGAGAACAGCCGAACAACCCAGCCAGGAGAAGAGAGCTGTATTCACTCTTTTCAAAAAGCTGGAGGCTATGGGGGAGAATCACGGGAAAACTCCTACAGAGCTCGGAAACTACTTCAGCCCACCTAGCAGGGACAGACCAGTAGAGGTGAAGAAGAAAGAATCTGAAGTTTTGGGTCAAACTAGTGCAGTGAAATCCTCTGAGGCCAGAGAAGGGAAGCAGCACCAGGAGAATGTGTACACAGAGCCAGGGGCGCCCCCCATCAACCCAGTCCCCAAACCCCAACGTACCTTCCAGCATCCAGCTACTGCCTCTATTGGGAGGAGTCAGAGGCAGGGGAGAGGGCAGAGGAACCTCCCCCCACTGCCCTCCATCTCTACTAAAACTTCCTCCAAACCTCCCTCTGGTGTCTACGGGAGACCTAGGGGTGAAAGAGTCAGAGACAGCATCAACAGGTATAGAGGGAACAAAAAATTAATTAAACCAACATAAAATACAATATTTAGTTTTGTGGCTATAGTAACTGTTAGACCTGACATTGCACTACCTGGATGAATGAGTAAACTCTACACAGAGTTTAACGTTTGACCATATTTAACAAATTAATTCATACTGTGGAACTAATTTGCACTTTTCTGTTCACCATGACAGGAAATCCTTTGAGCTTGAAGACCTTGCAAGGTCAACTAGCCCATTGTTTTCTCGCTCACTGTCTCAGGAACATCACTATGAGGATATAGGTCAGACACCTCTGTTATCCATAACTGATTTCAGAATTAAAGAAATTATTTGACATTTTATCAAATACACTTTTTTTCTGATAGTTAAGTGAGAAGATCAATACCAATCTCATGTTTGTAAATATGCTTAGCTTAGTATAAGGCTGGAAAAAGGAAGAAACTGCTAGCCTGGCTCTGTCCAAAGATCAGATTTTCAGAAAATCAGCTTTTCCTTTAAAGCAGCTCTAAATCTCACTAATTAACATGATGTAGATTGTTTAATCTGTACCAAAAACCCAGTTTTAGGGTTTATGAGCAAGTGCTGGACAAAAAAAGGATTTTTGATCTGATATTTTCCCACTGCTTCATGAACTACATTAATATAAATGAAAACATAAATGCTCAGTATGGTCAAATTTACAAATATTGAATATGGGCGGCTTCAGCCCAAAAAATATATCAGAATCACATATTTGAGACTATAGACTATTGTTTTGCCTATAAAATGCCTATGAACATGTATTGAACGTTGCCATTTTTGGTCTCCCTGCAGACTCGTCCAAAGAGAACCCTTATGAGGACATAGAGCTGGAGAGCCAGTGTTCCCAGCAGTCTTTGCCCTCCTCTCCTGGCGCTGATACTACCAAGGTCCCTGCAGTACAAGCCAAGCATAATACTTTACAGTGACAATGCTTCTTATTTAAATGTATTAAATGATTTTTGTATCTACAGACCTCGAGGCCTGGGTTCTTCAGGCAGAACTCAGCCAGGAGCTTTAAGCTGCTGGACCTGCGGAGAAGCAACCAGTCCACCCACAGCACCAGCAGCGGGGGGGTTTCATCTCCACCCCAGCTCAGCCCTCCTTCCACTCCCACTGGGCCTGAACACACTTCCTGGCTGACTGGGGATCCCTACAGCCGCACCTGCCGTAGGATACCAACGGTGCGTGTTTGAGTGCATATTTTAGAGCTGTATATGTATTTTCTTTTCCAGAATCCCTGAGGTAAAGTAGAGGGTTTTATCTTACAACATTTACCACCACCTTTAACTGAAATCAGGTGTGGCTGCCAGGTTTCACTGTAGCTTCCAAAATATTATTAATTGGTGTTCTCATCGTTGAGGAAAGACATCATCCTGTAGTATTTCTTCACACTGAGTCAGAGCCTTTTTCCAACAGGTAGTACTAAGAATCAACAGCATCTTTGAGGCTCGGATCGGGAAGAAACATCTGCGAAGGATCTATCATTACGCTGAGACAAGCTCAGGGAGAGGTGATGATGTTGAAATGATGATCATCCTGAAGATATGAGACTTTATTCTGTGTTGTCTAATGCCTATAATGTAAATGTGGGGTTTTGGCTTAACACACCTGGCTTTTGTTTGCAGTAACAGATGAGAACAGTGACTCTGAGAGTGAAGTTGAAGAAAGAGCAAAAGGTAGATTAACACACAACTCCTCTTTTTGTCTTTAAATCTTTACATCTTTTGACATCCTCAATTTATAACAATACTGTATATCCCCTTCCTCTTTTCCAGCTCAACGGCAGCGTCTGGTGTCAGTCCAGTCCATATTGAGCCAGCCAAGCAAGTCTCAAGTCCACTACAACGGTACCAACAGCTCTCTGGAACAGGAGCTCCACCAGCGTCAGCTCTTTGAATATTTTCTAGTTGTGTCACTGCATAAGTCGAAAGCTGGAGGCCACTATCTGCCGGAGGTCACACAGCAGTTCCCACCAAAGGTGAGGAGCAGAGGAGTGCTTGAATCTTTACTAGCTTTTGGTGGTAATTTTGTTTGTAAGGGGAAATCCACAGATTGTACACATTAAGTTCAGTTACGTTAAGTAGTCAGTACCCAGCGTGTGAAAGCAGTTGTAAAATGTCTTCAGTTGCTCCAGAGGGAGCTTTTTAAAAGTCATGATCTCATCATCAATTATTTCAACTTGGGCTTGAGGCTTTAAATTTGTAACAGAAAGGCTGAAATACAAAATGTGGGATTTGAAAGAGGTTAGGATATAGGAGGCAGGAAAGGTCTAATGAAAGAATCCAGGTGCATTATGGGAAATGAAGGATCCGTCTTTTTTGGGCTCGGCCTCTTCTGCAGTCCACAAACTTTACGGAAATCCCTTAAGTACCCCTTTAACTTCTGGGACAGAATGCCTTAAAATAGAACCACAGACAGACAAAAGTCAACATTTAAAACAATTCAAAATATGTGACTGATCACAAGTCTACCGGACAAGATTCTGTGAATTAAACGATTATGGATACATACCTATGCGTGAAATTGTAATGGAAATTAAGTGAATGAAAATACACCAAAGTACCAGTCCCATAGCGTCATCGCTGTTATGTTGCAGCTGGAGCGGAGCTTCAAGTTCATGAGGGAAACGGAGGATCAGCTGAGGATCATTCCTCAGTTCTGTTTCCCTGATGCCAAAGACTGGGAGCCGGTGGAGAGCTACCCAAGGTGAGAGTATGAAAATGAACTTAATGCCACTGTTTATGAAACTCCACACAAACTGGAGTCAGTTTAATAGTCAAAATAGTTTTAAATACTCAAATTCAACTCTTATTATCACTAGTAATCTTGCTGTTCAAGCCCCAATACATGACTGCTGTGTGTGGATATGTCCATTTAGGCTGTTCACAAAAATAATACATTTCAGTATTATCTGTGTGTATTTCTCATATGTACAATCAAAATATGCTAATCACTTGTTTGTTTGTGTATTTGTTGTGGGTCCTCCCTCATAGTGAGATGTTCGCTTTTGTTTTGACTGGAGAGGATGGGAGCAGGAGGTTTGGATACTGCCGGCGTTTACTGGTAAATAGAAATGAGTAGAATAAATAAGTGCACCGCTACTGAACAGGAAGTGGCTAAATACCACGGTGACGGCTGAGTAAATAAGCGTGCCAAAATAGTCGGCGTGCCTGTGGGAAAACAGTCCATCTCAGAGTCTGGGAGGAAGTGTGTGAGACTGGGAAAATTGGTATGTGTGTGCCTTTGCCTATGTTTCTGTCTATGTATTTCTACAGTATGTGTGTGTGTTTCAGTGCTATTGATGGGTATATTAATGTGTAAGAGCAGCAGCAAGTAAGCTTTCACCTTTTCCTTTCAGCCCAGTGGAAAAGGCAAACGTCTACCGGAGGTCTACTGTATTGTTAGTCACCTTGGCTGTTTCAACCTGTTCTCCAAGGTAAAACCCTCCCACTGGTTCCATGTGATAATATTGACATTAAAGTCATCAAGCACATTTGTAAAGTGTGTGTTTTTGTGTGTACTGTAGGTGCTGGATGAGGTGGAGAGGCGGAGGGCATTGTCCCCTGCCCTTGTGCAGCCTTTTATGAGAGCCATCATGGAGGCTCAGTTCCCAGCTCCAGGCAGAACCATCACCATTAAAACCTTCCTACCCGGCTCAGGCACTGAGGTGACTGATAGTGGAGCAAGTAAAACTGGAGGCTGCATAAATACTGAAATTAGTTTTCAGTATCTAATTAGTTAGTAAAAGAAAAGCAAATAGCCTGTTTTTGAAAAAAATATGTTTGATTGTCCATTAGAATTTCAAGTTAGCCTACTGTCGTCTCTACTGGGGTAACTTTAATGCTCATGTCAGCATTTTGAGTGCTATAATCTCAAATTTAGTGATGCAAAACATTCATTTAGCTGGAGTTTGTGACAAGAATAAACCCCACTTTTAATAAAAAAGAGTTCAACTAGAGTAGAAGCAACTAGAGTGTGCAACAAATGTCTTTTTTCAGGTTGACTTCCAGTGATAAGCACCTAGTAAACTAGTAAAACTACTCAGAGATCAATAAAGGTCACACAATGAATGCCCATTTAAAAACTATAAACTACTGTTGTTTTCTTTTAACTTTGTAGATTTATCTTTTATTCCACTTATTCCCAGGTGATGGAGCTCTGCCGACCGTCAGACTCACGCCTGGAGCACGTGGACTTTGAGTGTCTGTTCTCCTGTCTGAGTCTACGGCTGCTCCTCCGGGTGTTCGGGTCTCTGCTGCTGGAGCGAAGGGTCATCTTCACCGCTGACAAACTCAGGTCGGTCCTTTCACTGGAGCCATTTATCCTGCAGGCTCACATAAAATACTGGAATCTGTAGCTATGTGACAGCTCATTTGATGGCTCTTGAAATATGAGGTTGAACATCCTTCTTCCACTGTTTATGTAATTATGGAGTTGGCAGATATTAGGTGCAAGCGTCAGGGATGTTTTCATTATTAAGTTGTGGGTGGTCCAGACCCACATTTTAAAATAAATTTAAGGCAGCCCCAGTTTTATTCAGGGAACATGCCAGAGAGATATTTTGAGGCCAGTCTGTTGAGTTGTTGTGCTGGGGCCAGTTTGTTTGTTCTGCAGGAGAAAGCCTGTGGGAGTCAGAAAGAGTGCTCACACTAGTAGAGGGCTGGAATGCAAAGTTGAATGACGTAAATGAAAGAAGTATGTGGCTTTGCTTTCCTCTCTGGGAAATGTTATTACTTTAGGGACCATCCACAGTGCTTAGACAGTATTTTAGACCATAGCACCCTCATGTGGTGAGAATAAGTAAGTTACTGATTTTCTGTATCTTTGTCTGCCCATCCCTAACTCTCATCCAGAAAAAGAGCCTATCATTTAAAGATATCTTATCGCTGTGTCTCTCCTTATAGTACTCTCTCTCAGTGCTGCCATGCTGTTGTGGCGCTGCTTTACCCCTTTGTATGGCAGCACACTTACATCCCTGTACTGCCCTCGGCCATGCTCGACATCGTCTGCACTCCGACCCCGTTCATCGTTGGCCTGCTGTCCAGTTCCCTGCCCCAGCTCACTGAGCTACCGCTAGAGGAGGTCAGAGAGGCACAAAGAGTCATCAGAAGATTAAATTATGTACAGCTGTGAACAGATTTATCACATTATTAATGCAAAAGTGTTGTACATTTCAATAATTTTGTCTTCCTATGCACAGGTTCTGGTTGTCGATCTTGGAAACAGTCGGTTTCTCAGACAGGTAGACCATGCGTTGAATCATGTTTGTGTGCTTTGCATGAGCTGCATGAATGTAGAACAAATTATTCCAACCTTAACATGCCCACAAATGGATTTTCTATCCTGTTTTGTCACATATAGTTGGATGATGAGGACTCCATCCTGCCTTCTAAGCTCCAGTCTGCCCTGGAGAATGTTCTGGAGAGGAGAAGAGAGCTCGCTAATGAGAGAGGAGGAGACACACCCAGTGGTGAGACATAACAAGGACTGAAATATAAAAGCATAGTTGAGCAGCACCTTGTGGTTGTCATCAACCATTGTTTATTCAGGGAAATTGACTGAGCATTAAGCTCTTTTACAGCGATGTCTGAGTTCACACTGATACGAGCTAGAAGGATGTACAATATATGAAAAACAACTGCAATAATAACAATGAAATGACAAAAAAGTAAAAAAAAAAACAAATAACTAGCAGACTTGTCTGGAAAGATTAGAGCGATAAAAACTGATAAAAAATCTAATAACATCCTATAAATGATAGGATATACTGCACCAGTAAATACAATAAAATGTAGAAAGGTTAAAAAATAAAAATAATAAATAGTCATGTTTATGAATGAACCAAAGCAGGAGTATTTTTGTATGTATGCTACAATCATTCCTCCTCTTCTCTTCAGACGCTGGCCATCTTAGCACCGTTGTTTCCGAGGCCTTTGTCCGTTTCTTCGTGGAGCTGATAGGCCACTATCCACTCTTCATCATCGGAGAACGGGAAGACGGCTACTCCTCCTCTTCTTCCTCCCCGGTCCCGTGCTCCTTCCAGCGCGAGGGTTTTCGTAAAGCAATCCCGTCTAAGACTGTGCGCCGCTTCCTGGAGGTCTTCATGGAGACCCAGATGTTTGGCTGGTTCATCCAGGAGAGAGAGCTCCACAGGCAGGCCCTGAGAGGTAAAGGGCTGCAGTAAAAAGAACAGGTTCAGCTGTTAGGAGGTGATCTGGTGATTCATGAATCTTTCTCTTTCTTCAGGACTGTTTGAAGTGAGGGTGCAAGAGTATCTAGACTCCATCCACGAGAATGAACACCGCAGGGTTAACAGGTTTCTCAAAGGCTTGGGTAAGGTTGTTTCTGAGCAATTCTTAGCTGGAATTTTTTTGTTATAGTGAAACAAACAATCTACTCCAGGTTTATTCTCACCTCAAAACACTCTTGTTTCTTTTTCATCACTCCAGGAAACAAGATGAAGTTTCTGTCCAAGAAATAATGGCACTATAATGGAACAAAACAGACAAAAACTAAAGAGAAGAACCACTGAAACAAGGAAAGACTTCACAGACTGCTGAAATTTGACAAAAGAAATTATCATTAAGTGCTTTTTCAGAGACACTTGTCTATGCCATCCTCATCTGTGTCAGTGGTTGAGACTGAGGGTTTTACTCAAGGACTCGTGATAGACAATCACAAACTGTTCCCATCAATGGAAAAACCTGCTGTATTTCACATAAATAAAGAAACTTGGGACTTTAGACTAACAAAAAAAATGAAGAGGGAGCTGGTTGGGTCGCTTTTCAGGCAACAGCATCGATGAGCACAACACAATGTATAAAAATAAAATCAGTCTAGGTATCTTGGTGCGAGCTACATATGGCTGACAAATTAAAGCCCAACCACACATTAGGTGAATAATATGCTACACACTTTGGTGGTCACCCTTTGTAACTCATGGTCATAGTATTTTCTGAATCCACTAGGGGGCAGTAGTATATTTTTCTCTGATTAGATTATGTTGACACTGATAGTGACTGACCAGAAATGACACAGACCCACTTTCCCATTATTTAATGCTTCTATTTTCTTTTAGTCATAACAGTGACAACATCACAACTGCTCGACTCTGTGACAAGTAAATAAATATTCTCTTTCTGTTGTTTTGAATTGCTGGGTTATTGTCATAGTGCTGTCATGGTTATTTCCATTGAAATAAATACCCAGGTCTTATAAATGATTGCATTACATGTTTAGAGTTTGGATGCCATTTTTGTAAACTTTGTTCATCTCCTTCCCCACCATCCGAGAGTTTGCAAATTATGAATGATATTAAATTACTTTATGGTAAAAAATGCAATATATCCAATGACGCTGTGCATGTTTGACAATATAAGTTTTGTTGCACGCTGGAAAATCCTGAGAAGAAAATCAAAGCCAAGTGAATTGTGTTCACTCAGCATTTGTGTGCCAGTTTTACGCGGTGAGCAATCTGTATACCACCCATTTGCTAACCATTCACTGCTGTGTTTGTGTGTTCGAAGTTATTTGGCCTTTTTATTACAAAGAGCCTCGGTTCGGAGTTGGTGGCAGCTTTACTATTTTAGTCTCTGAGTCATGGAAACAAAGCCGATCTTTAGCCCGCGAAAAGGAAAGCACATCTTTGTCAGCATGAAAACATAACACAGGTGCAGAGCAGAGCATAGTAGTGTATTGTCTGAGGACTAGTGTGCTCAGTTTGTGCATGCTAAGCAAGCCCAAGGGCCCCGGGGCATCACACAGCACCTAACCTGTCACCCTGTTAGTGGCAAGTTCACACACACCTGCTGACACAGATGTTGATGCATATACACAGATGCACAGAACAAAGTACAGAGTATAAACAGAGGCTTATACACATACACACACACGTACTCTAAAACATTAATTCCCAACCAAGGGTACTTGTACCCCAGGGACCACCACTGTTACATAGGGTACATGGGACGACTGTAGATCAGTTGGTATCTAAGCTAAAAATGGTCAGCTATAGCACCTGGACACTATATGCACCGAGTGTGTGTGAAAAGTAGCAGGCGAGCAAGGAATTTTAAAGCTAAAAGTAACAAATAAGTTCTAATAATAATCTTTATTATTTATGAATACTAATGGTTAAACAGATAGGCTAAGAATAATGGATCCATGGTTGAAATAGATAGCTAAAAGTAATGGATAATGTTTACAGTTAGCTGTGGATAAACAGTTTAAACAGATGGATGGCTAAAATGAATAGTTAAACTGTTGAAATGGTTAGCTAAAAGTAATGGGTAAAATAAACAGATATAACTAATGGTTATACTAGTTAGCTAAAAGTAGATAACTGTTCAAATATGCGTTAACTAAAACTGTTTGATTAATGGTTAAGATAGCGAAAAGTAAAATGTTGAAACGTCGACCTGCAACTGTATCCACTATTAACCTTAACATTGACAGTTCAGTTGTGTGAAATTGGAACAATATCCACTTTTATATAATCAATAGTGTTAAATAGCATCCAGTTAAGACACTACAGGTAAAAAGGGTAATATTTTTTTAATAAATATTACCACGAAATTCAGATAATTATTTTCTGTATTACAAGTTTTCTGAAATGTTTTATCTAAATACGTAAATGAGGTATTATCTAATGGTAGCTATTTTTGCATTTAGGAGAAGAAAGTCAGGAAGCAAATATACAAAGTATAGTAGTAAACACCTAACTGTGTAAATGGGCGTTTTCTTCCCACTAGTCTGAGCCCAAAATCTCACAATCGACCAGTGCATAAAAAAATGTTTTGGCCTGTAGCGTTGCCTTATGAATCAATTCAAATGAACACATTAGGAACATGACACTAAGTGTCAATGAAGGAGTAGTAGAGCTCGTTTGGCAGTGCTGTGGAGGTACATCAGACAAAAAAGGTTGGAAACTACGGCTCTAAAACATGTTCAGTGAATCTGTCACAGAGTAACAAATGTACAAATCATACCGCAGCTGAAGCTGCGGTGCGGTGGGACAGGAGGCATCTCAGGAAGATGAATGGATGTGGTGAGAGAAGAGCATTGACGGCTGCCGAAATGTTTCCTCACTCACTCAGGTTTTTGGAGCGTGTTTGTGTCTGTGTGCACATGGTTGAACACCAAACCCACATACTGTTTCCTGCTAAACACCTGGCTGCTGCTCAACACAACTGGCTCGTTAGTGCGGAGGTAATTATGGTTTCGATTAATTCCAGTCTGCGGGGGTTAACCCCCAAGGCCTTACATCCTGCACCAGTGTATTTCCAAAGGCAAACCTCCCAGTGGAATATCTCTCACCACTGCAAACACAAATGTCATGTGTTTTCAGTCAGGGAGAGAGAGCTCTTATCGGCCACTTAGAAACAACAATAGCTTGTTGAAACTTTAATCTTCCCTGCAAAGGGCCTTTCAAAGGTCCCTATTACCTGACTGGATTCCACCTTAAAGAGATGCTACCCAGTGATACCACACTATGCTGGTAATTGAAAACATCTTACCTGCAAGTGAGAACCTGTTGCAAGACTCAGCGGTGCAATGTAGTTATGCCTATTATTCTCAGCAGAAATAAAATCATACAAACATCACGGTCTATTAAAACCAACCACCAATTCAGTTATAAAGTCTCTCCAGAGATTTATTGACCTCATTTCAAGTGCTTGCAAACTTGCATTTTAAACTCTCTGGAGGTTGTCTCTGCTAATTACATGATTTATGGTGTAATTTATGGAGGCAGGGAGGTGCGGCAAATAAGCAGCAATTGCCATCAATCAAAATGAAAAGTGTAATGTCATTTTCCATCATTTTGTTTAATTTTTTTATATACCTCTTCTCCCACAACCCCTCAGTCAAAAAGGCTGTTTTGGCAAGGTCAAATTTGCTAAAAAGCTTGGGGTCATGGCGGTTGTAAAGATGCCATATGCAATTTTGTACAAATTATGCTTGTGTGCCCGGGTATTTTTGCCATCACAACACAAATATGGTACCAACAGGTTCCCATGGAGTCCTTATGTGCCTGGTTGGAACTTGGGAACTCCAGGGGCCATGAGTCCACAACTCCTCCTAACATCTCACACTGATTTTAATTTGCCTCACACTGCCTGTGTGAGAGCAGAAGTGTGGGAATAACAAAGCAGGAAAGTAAAAAAGGCGGGAAACAGAGAGGAAGGGTACCGAAAAAGCCGGAGTTTGATGTATGAGAAAAATACTTGACTGTGCACGCTGAAATGCATGTACAGTACACACACATACACATGCATTGAAAGGTTCCTGAACATGCAGCCGTCAGCTTGTTTTTTGGAGCTGCAGGTGCAGTGTCCAGCTGCAGCCCTGCCATGCATGCCAGCGGCCTGAATCATTTCCCCCTTTCAGAGGAGGAGCCATCAAAGCATATGGGGAACATAACAGCGGGAGGAGGTGGGAGAGGAGAACAGTGGAGAGGGGCAGGGGAGGAAAGGAGAGGTGAATTTGACAGGGGAAGAAGTGAAGTGGTACAAAGTGTAGAGAAGAGAAAAAAAGGATTAGTAGTGGAGGATTTCCATTTCCCTGCTGCTAAGCCATGTTACAGCAAAGCCTTAAAACTGTGGACATAGACCAGGAGCTACAGGGAAGAAGAAAAAGGGAGAGAGCAGTGGAGGGTGCTGGACATGCAAAGTAAGGGTAGTTTTAGGAGAGAAAAATCATTGTGGTTTGTGAGTTTGACTCTTTGTTTGTGGCCTCGATTCCTCGCCCTTTAATCTCAATTTTTTTTAAAGAAAGTAAAAGGGGCGAGAGAGGCTCAGAAAAGTGTTTGAAAAGAGAGAGAGAGAGAGAGAGAGAGAGAGAGAGAGAGAGAGAGAGAGAGGGTGGTGGGGGGACAGGGAAGCTCAGGCCACACACATAGATTTCCAGGCATGAGTGTGCATCAGTCAGGCCTGTCCGCATGTGGTCTGCTGTATGTGTCCAAGTTTATCCACACCACTATTACACCACCATTAGTCATGGCATCTGATGACAAGGGTTAAAATCCTTCTCCCTTTCTCTCTGGCTTTGTCTCTCTCCCTCATTCAGCTCAAATGACCTTTTTAAAGGGTCACACCCCCAATTTTTACATTTTCCTATCTCACCTTACATCGTCTGACTTTGTGTCTGTGTTTAGCATGGAGAGGAGTCTGTCTGGAGCCTGAGGACTGGACACACACACACACACACACACTTGTGTAGGGGATTCTTTGTCAGAGCAGTTCCAGGGTGGTCTGGTCTGCAAGTGTACATAGACTCATCTCTCTTCATGTGGTTTGTATGTGTAGACTTTGTAACTTTGTGTGTGTCCTGGAACTGTAATATATCATACTATTGCGCACAATGCAGGAAGCAAGCCGATTTAAAAAAGTTATTTTCAAGATTTAACCATAGAAAGTGGTCGCATCAGGAAACAATACAAAGGCTGTGTCTGAAATGATGTCCTATTTCCTATATAATGAAATACGGAATATTTTATTTTGCAGTGTTGCCATGATGTTGGATGTTACAGCGCCTGTGATGAATACAAATGTAGATCCCATTGTTCTGGTTGCATTAAAAATATAATTTTTGAAACTACTCTTCTTTAAAACTATGACAGTTTTCCTAAAACTGGATTTTTTGATTACAATCCAAGAAGGTAAGAACACCACTTTCAGCTAACATCAGCATGCACACATGCTCACATTGACAATGCTAACATGCTGATGTTTTGCAGGTGTAATGTTCCCCATATTCACCATCTTAATTTAGCATGTTAGCATGCTAACATTTGCACAAAACAACAACAATACAATACAACACAAAGTGCTGAGGCTGATGGGAACGTCATTAATTTGGCAGGTATTTGGTCTATCAGCTACGTCACTAGCATTGCCATGCAAGCAGGCATGGATGTTTGGTTTTGTTTGAACATGCATACATTTTTGTATATCTAAATACATGTGTGTGTGCACAGTCACAGCCAGAAGCCTGAGTGTGCACAAGTTTGTTTTTGTGCACACGCTTTCACTTTTTGCCTCACCCCTCTCAGCTGGCTTGCCAGCAGTGTGACTGCCAATCAGTCCACAACAATATCTTTTCCTATAAAGTCTACCATCTGCTAAAAAGATATTCTAGATGAAATGTGATCCACTCGTACCTGATGGCACTTACTCTTACACACGTGTAGTTTTACAGTGACCAGCATGACATAAAACAGCTTGA